GTTCGCTTCGCCACCAGGTCGTTCATACGGCACCTTGGTCTCCACATGAGCATTGTTGTGGGCCTCAAGACGACACCGACAAAGGCACGTCCGGACAAAAGCATGCCCAGGTAAATCAGTCCCTCTCTCTCTCTCTCTCTCAGAAGAAAAAAGACACCATCGGTATCGGTGAACTCGTCTCGGCTCATTTGCATTCACAAAGGATTTAGATATGTCGACCAACATTGGATGAAGATTCACAGGAAACAGGACTACGGGTGTGAGCCGTGCGAGCCACTTGGGTGTGGATCAAAACCGGACCGACCACCGATGAACGAGGATGAGCATGAGGCACCCATACTGGCACCCATGTATTCTGTTCATGCTTGAGGTGCCCATGAGAGGTCTCAAGTTTGGTCGAAAAGCCAGATTATTCTCCACAGCGACAAACTTTGGAAGATATCATTAGGTCCTGCAAAGAGCTTTAGAGATCGCTCTAGAGCTTCGGCTTCCCTGAACTTCCAAATAGATTTCATACATATACTACAGTAGTGTCTATGACTTCGGACTGGGTTGCCAGGCATGGAAGACCCGCTGCTCCTTCACCGACTTCTTGCTGTGGGTGACACTGCCATCAGCGCCTGAAAAGGCAGGCCATTTAGCATCATGTAATGTATACAGGACATGATCAGACATATGATATACAGCATCAAAAAAATGCAGAGCTTCGCACCCAAAGAGTGTTTGGTGTGGATCTCACCTCCAGAAATGAATCAACCTGAGGTCCATTCTCTTGACAATTCGCCAAAGTTCACCGATCGCGGTGGTGGGGTTGCTTTGTAACGCTGCTGAAACCATCTGAACTCAAGCAGAACCTCTTCGTAGACTTCTGGAGGACGAGGTGCCACGAAACAACTTGGCGTCTTCAAGTCCCAGTCTTTCTGAGATGTGTTTCTTTCCAGACAGTTAAGGACTAAAAATTACAGTATCAAGTCCACATGGTGTGGAAAGTGAGTTGTTCGTTGAAGCAACAAAAGATACAAAAAGAGAGGACATGCTCCTGCCATCTCCTGCCCATCCAAACAAAATAGGCATAGGACAACCCTTCACAAACTCCCCAAAGTAAGTGCCGGTACAAAAACTTGGTCCTTGGAAAACCTGCCAGTCCAATGGCTGCCAGGAAAAACCGTGTTTTGTGAAATGTCGCAGAGTTTGGGCCTTTAACAGTCGATGACAATGATGACATTGATTGTGTGATATTGAGCGTCTGTCATGTCGCCTCAGGTTCTCCACCGGTGGTGCTCTGTCACTGCCAGAGACATCCATCACGTCCTGCCTTTCTCCTCTGTTTAGGACCATGGAAAGCGGGTGTCTGGAAAGAGGGTGTTTGGTAGCAGGGGAAATAGACTGGATGAACCTGATTGGTGCAAACAACATTCAGTATTTGAACATGTCGTGATAAACCAACATATGCGAACATATTGTGAAACGTCCTTCCAACCAATGCGGCAAGGCGTTCCGGCCCAGCCTGAGGCCGTGGATGTCTGTTCTCGGCTGTTCTGCACGGCCTGGTCTCGGCGGTTCTCGACAGGACGGGACCCGATTCCAAACCCCGGACACCCTGGATCTACCAGGGTGTCGGGGTTCAGGCTTCCTTGGGAATCGTTTCACCTGTAGTAACTAAGAAGTAGGAGCAAGAAGCCACTGGGAACAAAGGGCATCGCTACTAGTTTCACTATGTTTCACGAAACACAAGTGTCTGTCTTCCTCCACCAGAGCCACTGGCCTTCAAGCCGCGCCCGCCGCCCCGGGCCACAGGCAAGGTGGAAAGGGCCTAGTCCCGGGATGTCCCGAGGGCGAGCAAAAGGTTGATCAGCCCCTGCTGGAAATCGATTCCGGGTGTTTTGATCTATGGATCCTGCCTTTGCCACCCGATGGTTGCCTTTGCCACCTTGGTCTACTCTTTGAGGATTCTTCCCAATCGTGTAGTTCTACGCTTCTGTTATTTGAGTCAGTCCATCAATGTTCCGGACGTTCATCAACTTCGAAGTCTCCAATACCCGTACATAAGGAGACGTCTGGCGCTGGCCTCTGTCGTCTCTAGTTCAGTAATGAGTCTCCTTCTTGCCAGGATGTATGTCTGTCCATGAAAACACCGTGTTCTTCCACCAAGACAGACATGTCTGACCTCCTAGTTCCTAGTGTCCACCAACCTGCATTGGGCTGTCTCAAACGATCTCTATAGCTTCCTTCGCAGTGGTGGTCTCCCAGCAAGGTCCAGGTTTCAAGACCACACCTGCGAACGACCCGTGGAGGCTATATAGCTTCGAGGCTTACCCTGTTCATGCAGTAAGATTGCCAATGACAGTATTACTTCAAAGTACGCCGATCGCTGGTTGGATCGGAGACTAAGTCTATGCATCATTCTTAGAAGTCGCTGCGGTGAATCTTTACGCCATAGTGAAGAATAACATTTGTGTCGAAGAAACAGTTTGACCGAGATTGGCATTGACCTTCTGAAATGCTTTGTGTGTAGTTCACTTTTGGCCCTCCTACCGTGTCTTAGACCGGTGTATTAGGCTTGGCATGGCGGCATGGCTTGGCGGCATTTGTGTTTCATGGGCGCACGTATCTGTGAGGCGTTGTTTGTGGTACCTATCTTCCCCCTAGCAAGATACGAGCAAGGGCTGTGACGGGCGGGAGCAGGACCGTGAGTTGAGTTTGGGGCATGTATTACTACTGTATACCTTTTGCGCGAAGTGTGACTTTCAGGACATATGGTTTGTGATTGCTCGTGACTTGGCGGAGGACTGACTTTTCCAAGGTGTTTGAGGCTTCTCACTGAACCAATCATCCAATCCAAATTAAGTTCGCCGCCACCGGTTTCATCCTCCATCTTCGCTGGGGTCTGGATCAAGACTAGAGGCACGACGATACTACTTACCTTTTCCCTTTGCCATGCTATCAGAGGGTCAGTCTGTGCTTGCTAGCCTACTATACTCTATATACATCTACCCTCCGCTTCCAAACCCTATAAAAAGAACGGGTCTGATCCGATACCTCGGGTCTTGGTGATGGCACCATGCAAACATCGGGTTTTCATCGAAAACCCCGGGTTTTCCTGTACACCCTTTCTTTTGGTATTCCAGGAGGGTTCAGTTTGTTTGGAGGTTGCAGTGGATAAACATTTCAACCCTTCGTCAGGTGCGTCATGGCTCGTGTCACATGTGAGCGCAGGACATCGAGGAGATTAGGTCTTTCATCTTGGATTTCAACATTTCAAGGAAACACTAGCCAATGTCGGAACTTCCCCCGAAGACATGTTCATCCCTCAAGCTGGAGACTTCAACCAAACATGATACCATCGTCACACGATGCTTGGAAACTTGGGCACTCACACTCTCCTCGGAGCTGCCCGCTGGCGCGATCCTTTTTTTCAGCAGAGCCGGGAGCTTGGTCGCCACTCGAGTCCTGCAAGATCCGTGAGTGGACTGACGTGAAAAGTAGCAACCCTCGAAGAAGCTGCATACAATATCCATGTGGCATATATGTGTGTGGTTGCCAAGCAGTTTATTGAAGTTGATGAGTTTTCTAGCACCATTTTGGTTCAAATTTTTTGAGAGAGAACTCTCTCGGGGCTATAGAGCATCCAAGAGCCATGTCGTCTTCTGAAGCGAAACCAAAGCCAAAGGGAAGGCCGGTTCAGCCCAAAGAAATGCTAGACATAACAGGTGTCGGCAGCGAGTGGGATTCTTGTGAAGAAGTTAGGGATCGCATGAGGAAGGACGGGCTTTTGATGTCAGAAAAAAGTGGTTGAAGACATCCCATCCTGCCTTGACGAGAAGTGTGTCTTGTGGCCATTCTTGGCACGGATGAGTTTGCTGCGCACACGTCCTATGCCAGATGTGGCCAGTTTGCGCGTGGAAATCCAGGAGTTTTTTTTGACGTGCAAAAGGCCTGCCACCAAGGACGATGAAGCTGAGATCATTCGTTTGTCCTGGAGGATTAGGAAGCTCTTGGGCTTCATCAAAATGAAGACCCGCCGCCACGAGGTTTCTACGGCGCCTTGTTTGGACTGGTTTGGAACAAAACTGGTTTCATTTTTGGGGAGGACGGTTGCTTCAAATTTCCATTCTGCACTTGAGGTGCCGGACTTCCAAGATATGTGCCTTGAGCTGGACCCTTCGCTTCAGGCTAGAACACTGGGATAATCTAACTCGACTGATCAAAAGCTTGGCTACAATGCGCAACCTCTTATTGTCTAACAACTGGCTTTCTTCTCAAATCACAGCCCTTTGCACGGAGGAGGTTGTGGATGCCATCAATGCCAGATTGAAGGCTCGCAAGGCTGCAAAGGACAGGTTTTTTGTGGCGCATCGGCTTTTGAACAAAATATGAGATGTTTTGATGGAAAGCTGTTTGTTTCGGCTCTTTGGATCAATTCAACTAGCCTCTAGCTTCACACATCACGCAGGAGACGGGTGAAGCGGTCGATGACGAGGACGACTGGGATGAGGAGGGTGAAGAGTCAGAGGGGGGCAGTGAAAAGGGGGGCGATGAGGCGGAAAAGGAACCCGTTGAAAAGGGGTGCGATGAGGCGGAAAAGGAACCCGTTGAAGAGGGGGGGCGATGAGGCGGAAAAGGAACCCGTTGAAGAGGGGGGCGGTGAGACGGCAGCAAAGGAACCCGTTGAACCTGTACCTATAGCCACAGAAACTGTTCCGGGCGATGGAGTGGACACACGACCGGCGGAACCTGCACCGTTGCCTCCACCTCCTGATCCAGTCGCGAAGAATGAAACGAGCAGCCAGACTTATTGCTTATGTTTCTTGTTGCTTCCTTCAGATCTCAAGTGTGAGAGAAATGTCGCTTATGAGTTATCCGGTTGCTCAGGTATTAAATCTGATTTGCTGAAGCGCAAAGCTGAAGTAGAAGAAAAATTGAAGAAGCCATTGGGATCGCATTGCGTGATAACAATGTTTCACAACGCTGATTCAACTTACTTGTCACCCTTTGAGCCTATGGCGTTCTCTGATAGCCTTTGGTATCTGAGGTTGAGAGAGAAGATTCACGCCGATGCCCAGATGGCCTTGGAGCAGAAGTCTGCTGCAGCCCACCCCAAAGTTCCAGAACAAAAATCTCCGGATACTCCGTCGCTGGCAAGCCCTGCGCCCCACATCTCTGCTTCTGCAGTTGCAGGCTTGCGAAATGTTGCATATTGGTTGGCATGCGTGTACATAATGTGGTTTTCTGTTTGTTGTTTTCCTTGTTGGAGGCCAGTCAAGTGATGACACACTTCCGTATGAACCTGCGGCAGTTGAGCTTCCGGACAGTCTACCACCAACATCGTCTCCGGCCAAGACTGCAGAGGAACGTCGTGCGGCTTACCAGGGTGCTGGTGAGTTAGGCTCAGAAACTGCAGTTCTTGGGGCGACCTCGGAACGTCCGGAAGATCCAAAAGATGCGGAACCATTCACGGAGAGTGATGAGGAGGCGGGAATGTTTCTTTTGCATATTGCGTCGTAAGTTTTGAGCAGCTTACTGATCGGGCCACTCACATGGCAGGAGAGACCTCCCGGACCGCTTGTCAGCAGGCAGGATCAACTTGATATGAAACCAGAAACAAAAGGGAAGGGCAAAGGTCGAGGAAGGGGCAAAGGTCGAGGAAGGGGCAAGGACAACAACCAGGAGAGTGCAAGGGCTGGCTCTGCTAAGCGTAAGCGCTCAAACGAGGCTGTTGGGGCAAAGGCTAAGCAGGCCAAACCTGCCGGCGACGAGTGGGATGATTGGGAAGCTTGGGTGCCTTGGGGGAGCGATGATGTTGAGTGGGATGGTTACTACTGGTGCCCAGAGTCTTCCAGGTGGTTGTGGGATAGCGTCGCGTATTGGGATGCACAAATGGCTAGGGATGAGTTGCAGGCTATGAGTGAAGAGGCCAATCCAAGGTTGAAGAGGCAGCGCATGAAACAAGCAGTGGAGGAAACCGACCCACCAGGTGCAAGTGCGAGTAAAAGGCAACGTCGCAGCAAAGAAGCACAGCCAACAACAACAGCAAAGCAAGCACGTACTACAGCAGCAAAAAGCAAGGCAGCAAAAGCAAAAGGCAAGACAGACAAGGAGCAGCCAGAGCAAGCAAGCCCCGACGCGACACAACAACCGAAGTTCATGAAGGAGATTTTGGCTGTCTTGCGAAACTTTGTCGGTGTCGATGAGTGTGATCAAAAAGCCGAACTCCAATCGCAAATATCAGATTGGCAGCACAAAACATGCAAGTTTGGCAATGTTTACTGGACACGTGGAACCTGTGGCCTGCATTGCTTGAAAGAAGGGAAGGACTTCGCTCATTTCTCTTGTCCGGTGAAAGAGCTGCCTTTGATGATCAAAATGGCTGCATCCTTTTCCGCAGCTATGATTACCGCCCCTTGGGTTGCGACAGAGTTGAAATCTCAAAAATGTTCATCGGGGGAGTTGGATATTCAAGTTGGTCGGTTACATTAGCTCAGGCCGCTCATGCAGATTCAATTGTGGCTAAATCTGGCAAGCGCAAGAACCTCCGGGACTATGAGGAGCTGCAGGATGTAATTGCGCGTGTGAAGGGGGCCTGTAAAGATGCTGCCCTCGAGTTCTCGAAAGAACAAGAGAAATCAACATGATTTCCTTACCGTTATCTTTTGCCATGCGCTTCACTGTTTGCCAGTTGCGTGCTGAGGGTTGCCAAGTTGCAAACAACTTGGCTTGGGGGGTGCACGCAACCGCTGGCTTAGCACAGAAAAGCCGTTAATGGCAATTTGCGATGAATCTGGTGAATCAAGGTCACTTCCAAATAACCAAATATGTAAATGCATTGTTTGCACACAATGTACAACGTTAGCCTTGGAGTCGTGGTGGCCTCATGATCCCCGCACAACGGCGCTCAACCATCTTCTCAAAACTGTTGAACATCTCAGTGGTTATTATTGTGATGGTTTCCAAGCAAACTGTTCATGGCACATCGATTTGCGGAAGCAGCCGTGTGCAAGAAATGCTCAAGGAGCAGCTGCACATGCCAGGTTTAAAAGGCTATTGCTGAACGTTCTTTCCGACATGCGCGCGTTGGAGTTGGTTTGCGTTTTAGACTGCACTTTCTCTCTTCTTACCCAAGCCCTATCAACCTCTCACACCAACTTGCACTCTTTGATTCCTGTCCTGCCAAGGCGATGGCGAATGGGCAAAGGTGGGATCCGCCGCAAGAACCTGTGGCAAATCCGGGCACAGCAGCTATCGCTGAAGCGTACTCCCTGCCAGCTTACAAGCATTCAAAGTGTCAGATTCAGCTTCTCTAGGGTCTTCTGCATGTGCGCTGGACAATTTGGTATTTCCATACTTCCCGTCGCCGTATGATGTCCAAAAGAACTGGGGTAAACCTTCGGAGCAAAACATCACAAATTTGACATCAGTTCATCCTGCAACGCCCAAACCTTTGGAGCATGTTGGACTTGGACGCCCTGGTTTACCGCCTAAAAGTGCTTCGTGCACCAAAGGCCAGAGACCTGTGAATACGATTTGCGGTTCCTCTGGTTATCAACTCTAAAACTGGCAGGCCTTCGTGCTCTGCGTTCTGCTCTTGGTGTGGAGCTTTGACGTTCCACAGGCCGGCCGGCAAGTCCTGCTGTAAGGAGATCGTGTGTTTATCTCTTTGTCACCCCATTCTTTTGCAGGTGTATTCATGGATCGAGTATTTTGCCGGTGAAGGAAACCTCACAAAAGTTATGATGGCAGCCGACTATCGGTCAACCAGATTGGATTTGTTGGACAACATTCAGCCACCTCACCGGAATTCCAACTTTATGGATATGACCCACGGATCTGGCTTTGCGCTGCTTTGTTCAAACATGTTCCTTTTGTGCTGAAAGCTATAAGGGACCTGCAACCCTGATAGATTTTGTATGGGGCTGAGGCTTGCTATCTTATGTTTGCTTCGAACAGTACCTGGGCCTGGTGGATTTGCAACCCACTTCGGGATAAAGTGCTCCTCCTTCTCCAAGATGAATAGAGGTACGAGCCAGCGCTCAGCATGTTCCTCGAGCGGTTTTGGTGGCTACCAAAGCGTGCGGGTGGGAAACATGCTCCTTGAAAGGATACGGGCTGTGAATAAACAATGTATTAACATATTGAAGTATAATGATAGGTTTCTCCTGCCCTGGAGGACATGTTGTTTGATACTCCTTGCGACTGCGTTGGGTGGTGCTTGGAGCCTAGAGCAGCCATCCGGATCGCTACTAGAATTTTATCCAGTGTTCAGGGAAATGCTGGAGAGCATTTTCAATTGCGGAGGCGCACACGCGGTCGGAGTCCTAGATTTCAGGGAGGTGAGGAAATTGAAAGAACAACACCTGTCTTGATATAAACCAAGAAAGGCCGATCGAACTCAGGACACATTTTTTGGGCGCGACCTTTTTTTCACCAGCATGACTTTCAAAACTTGGTTGAAAAGGGCGCGGCCAAAACATGTGTTTTCAGGATCATGATGTTGTTCTGTGATATGTTCATTGTTTGTGACCCCTTTGCTTCCCATCATTGGTGATCACAAACAGTTAACGTAACATATAATATGAGGTCTCAATGGTCCAGTGGTGGATGGCGCACTATTCCTCTGCTACTCCAAAGCGCCACTACGCTTACGGGAACAGTGAAGAGATTCTACGATTTGACAAGGGCAGGTTGGAGGGCTGGAAAGGCGATCCCCGCTGCAAGAAGACGACAGTTGACCGTTATCGTGATTCAACAGGAGCCGTTCGATACAAGGGGAATCGAAACCTACGTGGGACAGAGTTTCTAGGCTAGCATTTGGTGTTTCTTCAGCTCGTCATAGTCTGCTCAAGGGTATCTCTAGATTCCACAGGGCGGCTCCATTTCTGGCCTTCAATTTAAACACGCTCACTCAAACCACCCTTCCTATTGTGGATGACCTGTCCGTCTGCCGAGGGTGTATCCAGTCCCATTTGCTCGGCTAGTGGCTGACCTTGTGGAGGAGCACAAGGCCAAAGCGAAAGGCCAACCTGAGTGCCCCGATTCAGGTGTTTTTCCACCTGCTTTGGAGACGTTTCAGTCGGCGGGCTGGCATGAAAGCGAGCTCTGGGAATATGTAGACTTCACCCAACTGTTTGGATACTTGAGGGGCGGCACTCGCCTAAAGATCCCTGAAGAGTGGAGGCCAGTGATTCCCGGGGGGCTGTGAAGAATAGCTATTGGTGGTCCCTTTGTTCTTCATATCCGACACCGATGCCTAACATTCGGCCGATTTACCGGTTGCTCTTAGATTTTGATCGGTTTGACAAAAAAAAAGAAAGGGTCTAGATCAAACCCGTACTAAACCCATACTGAACCCATTATTTACCCATACTAACCCATTATTTGCGAACCAAAACCCCGGGTTTGTGTGAAAACCCCGGGTTTTCCAAACCCGTACTAAACCCGTACCGAACCCATTATTTACCCATACTAACCCATTAAAAAAAGTATGGGTTTGGACCACCCCCCGGAAGCACTTTTTGCATAACAATTAGTGCTCTTGCTTGGCTCCGAGCAAGATGCCGACAACCGTTGCGCTGGGAAGACTCAACATTGAGCGAGCGACGCGGTATCTTTGGACATGTTTTCTGCAATCATGAGCTTTGAACACCTGAAGTGTTTTTTTTCATGCGCATGTTGCAGCAACTTTTTGACAAGTGAAGGCTGTAGCTTGAGTCTACTTGTAGAGATGTCACCTTCCAACCGGTGGAGTTGTGGAACTTTGGCGGATGGAGTCAAGCATGTTGAGACACTGGACGACGAGCATCAACTACAAATGGAACTGCAGGACGAGTCACACCACACACACGCTTTTGGAAGCCCCCGGGCGTTGATGTTTCAAGATGCCCGTCTCACTCCAGGAACTCCAGAACCAACTCACGTGTTTGGAGGCGGCTTCTCACGATGAACTGCAGCGACAGCTTTGTTAGAGTTGTCCCATCGTGAGCTAATTGCAAAACACTCCGTGTGTGTCTTGTTGAGAAGTGGCCTGGACACCCATTTTTTTAACACAAAAACATGCGTCCAGGACACTTGTGAAAACCCGTCCAAGTCCGCGCGCGCCGCATTCAGGCCGAGAACCACACAGACCCGAAGGCTGAGTCTCAAGAGACTGTGCCTGCCAAGCGCTTGGATATCGAACCGTGCCGCAGTCTTTTTTGTTTTTTTGGTACAGTCGTAATAGTTGCCTGAGGCTTCAGAAGATGAGATCAAAGAAATGTTTGCTCTTTTCAAAGATCGTGCATTTCAGTTGCATTTTAGGCAAGGGTCACCATTCGCCCTTGGACTCTCACACTTGTGTCGAAAGCCTTTAAGGATGCTGGCACTGTTCCACTGGCAACTGCACCCGGGTGTGAGTCTTCAGAGATGAAAGATGTTGCAGGAGCCGCGCTTGTGGACGCAGCCGAACGGCCATCTATTGTAGACTTGGAAACCCCAGAGTCTCCCTCAAAGAAACCTAGCCTGACTTCTGCGCCCGGTTCTGTTGAGACACCACCGCCAACACCGGCCGAAGCACCGACCACCAGCCCGCCTGGCACTCCTGCAGCTGGAGCATCACGCAAGGCAGCGCTGTCTCATGTCCTGAGACGAGATATGCATGTGCATGGTTATACCTTGCTTGATGCGATGTCTTTTCTAAACCACATGTGCACAGTGTAACTGTCATGCATACACCATCATACACCGTATACACGGCTGCAGGTCCAGCTCCGTTTGGCCAGCAAAGCACGACTCATGAGGTGGGTCAAACCGAAGTCCAAGCGTGCTAACATGGAGGCACCGGACTGGGTAAAGGCCGAGTGGGCAAAGGGGGACAAGAACGCTATTGCGGATTTGTATGTGCATTGCAACTTCAACCGCGAACCTTGCACGCAGAAACATTCCACACAAGAGTTGTGCATGGTTTTATGTATGGTTAATCTGGAGTCTGGGGTGTACACGGTGCAACGTCAGGAAGAGTTCCAAGCCCGGCTGACTATTGCAATCAAGAAAAAGCAGATCGTAGAGTTGACTGTCAATGAGGGCTGGTATTCAGTGAAAGAGATGCTCAATGACCTGAAGTGGTCTCAGTGATGGACTTATTTAATTCATGTTCACGGCACACGGTTGGAGATTGTTTCGGTTCAGCACGACCCAAATATTCCATCAGGACCAGAGTTGACGGCGCCGTCGCCCGCTGTCGCCAGCTCGGCGCATCTCACTGCCGGTGCTCCGAACTGCATGTATACTACTCTAACAAAAGAGTCACGTTTCAAACCATGTTTGTTGGCCTTGACCGATCCCAGCTCAGGAAGAACCAATATGATGGGGAGGAAGAGTTCTGGATTGTTATTCGCGAGACCGGTGTGAGACAAGAGCATCAAAGCTACGAGGAAACTCATGAGGAGGTTTCCAAGGCCACACTTATTACCTCCTGCACCGTGGGTTTGGAACCAATCCATTGTTTTGTCGGGCTTTGCTCTGCCACTGGGTCTCAAGTTCTGTTCTTTTTTCACGCGCCTTTCCATGCAGGCTTCAGAGAAGCCCGAATTCAACATGGGCGGGGAGAAGTTCCAGGGTCTGACTGACATGATGAACCGCGCCGGAGCGGAGCGGTCTTCTGATAAGACACAGCCAGCACAACAATCCAAGCATGCCCAGGTAGGGGCTTGGTAGGAAACATGTGAACTTATCGTTGCTATGTTCAGTTTTTTTTGACTCCGTGCCCTTTGCTAGACCAAAGAAGCTTTGAGAAAATTCAAAGACAGCATCATGGTGAAGAGCGGCAAGTTGCGTTCTTTGATCCGGGAACTCCAAACGAAGTTCAACACTGACGAAGCCAAGGAGTCCCTCTCCTAAATTTAAAATCAGAGCCAAGGTTCTCAAGGTGCAGTCTGTGTGCAAGAAACGCGAAATCCAGGTTCTCCTCTACCGCCGCGTCGGCCATCAGGTGCATCAGTTCCCTGAGGAAGGCCGTGGAGAGCGTCGACAAAGAGTTCGATCTGTGCAATGAAGTCTGGGTCAAGGGGGGAGACCGAAGGCTTCTTTACAGAAAAGCTTCTGGGTTAAAAGAAACATAACTTAATTGCGGAGCGCTCAAACCCAAACAGGTGGTCTTAACAATCGCCAACGCAACCTTGAGGTTCTATGAGATGGCGGAAAAGCGGATGAGAGAAGGTACCATGACGTTCCTGCCTCACCTTCATGGGTTTTACCATAGCCTGTTGTTGAAGCTTCCCCGCAAAACTGTCAAGGTGCACCCGGGCAGCAGGCACCGAGCTGAAAGCAAGGACCGTGTTTTGATCAGCAAGATGCACTCACCCCTTTCACTCTTACTTTGGTGCATAGGGTCAAGAGCCATGATGCATATACAAAATAAAAATCCCAAGTATGGAGCCAAATTGTTATACCTTATGAATGCTGATGCACGGGCCTACTCGTAATATGACTACTCTCGTTTGCTGTTGCATGGCTACAGCCTTTGTGCACTAGGACCTCCAAGAAGTTCTTCACCAAGAAGTGTGAGGGATCTGAGGGTGGAAAACGTTCCAACAAGTCGAAGGATCGGGAACAAAAGGCTGCACCATCTTCGAAGAAGACGGAAAAGACCCCGAAGACTGGGGAAGCACAGCCGAAGAAAGCTCGAAAAGCATAAGTCTTTTGAACCGTTGTAGGCGGTTGTAGGTATGGTTGTTTTTGCTGCGAGCTGTAGTCCAGGCACTCACAGCTCTGACGTTGCCCAAAGAGAAGTCTAAGTAAGACAGATGTGTTTTAAGATGGTTTAAGTGTCTTCTTTCAAAGGTTTGCTTCTATGTTTGATTTGTTTTTGCAGGGCATATGAACTTTGCAGCGTTCTTGAAAGGGGTTTTTTGATTGTGGTACTAGCCGCAATCACGCAGGCAATCGCTCGACTTGCACTGCTGGAACCATCTTTGAAGCCATGAGGGGAACAAAAAAAAACCGTTTGACCCGTCTTTGATTTGTGCCCGCTCTCTACTCGCTCTCTCGGCGCTATACGGCCAGGTCCCCGACCAGGCCGAGCTCTTCGTGGCTTTGCGAAGAGAGTTGGTCAAGGAGCCCGGGCCTCATCGGCTTCTGCAGCCTCTCCCAACAACAACAACAACAACAAAAACAACAACCTTGAGGCCTTGCCACCAGTTACCTGAAACATAGTTTTGGGGTGGGGTGGACTGAGCCATCTTGGTGAGCAAGACTTGAACTCTTGTTGAGGGACCCCCAAAACACAGAGAGAGAGAGAGAGACCAATCGTTTGGAATCCCTAGTTCGATTCTAAACATGGCAACGCCGTCAGTGTCCTGTTTTCTCTAACAGTTTCTGTAGAGAATGATGTGTTTGAGGTGGCTTAAGTCAATCAGGCTGGCCTGCGCCAGCATCGCTAGAAGCACCCTCGGTTGCCCACCATGGCAAGGGCCATCACCTCACCAATATTCACAAAGCACATCCTTTCAAAACTTAGTGCGCTGCCACTGGCAATTTCCCACTTGGATTGGGTCATGAAAAAAGACACCCGCAAGTCTGTTTGGCCCCTCCAAAATATAGTTTTTTTTTGCTATTGGTATAGGACTTGCGGGGGCCTTTTTTCAGGACCCAATCCAAGTGAATTTTTCCTCTTTACAATGCTGCAGTGGACATCGCAGCATGGACATATACATCGTATCACCATACGGATTTTGTGTTTGCATCACTGCTGCTTCTTCTACCCTGGGTTGAGAAACTCCTGGGTTGTGCTCCTTTCCTTTAGCTTGCTGGCCGAGGCTTCCTGCGTCTCAGCCATTGAGGCGGCCCGCGATGTGGTCGCGGACATAGGCCAAGAAGCAGCTAGCGCTTCGAGTGGACTGACAGATCTCGCGGGCTGCGGGATTACCAATTCCGAGCGCGATTGTCAACGTGTGTTTGCGAAGAAATACTCATTGTCAGTGCCAATTCCCTTTTCCTACCTGAAGACCGAGAGTGGGCAAGAGATTCCTTTGTTGAAGCTGCGCCACTGGGTTGAATATCTGGTGCGAAACTCATGCTGGCATATTCTTACGGGATTGGTGCGGCGGGACACTACACGTGAAGGGGACATTTTGGAAGCATTTTGGAGGACCTTCCGCCAAATAGAGCCTGATCATCCGATTTACGAGTTGGAGTCCCAAGGACGACTATCGTTTCGGAGAACTGCTCCACTTTGCTTGCATGGTGATGAAGGCCGTGGGCGTCGTAGAGAGGCCTTCATGATATTGTCATTTAGGTCCCTTCTGGGGCGGGGCCTGCACCCGGAAGCTAGAGTGGGCAAGAAGCTTGGGATAAAACGAAAGTGGTTGAAGCTGAAGCCAAACTTTCGGGGGCATAGCTTCACCTCACGGTATCTGTTCTCGGCAATGAGGAAGAGTGACTACGCCACAAAGGACACTGAGGGGAACTTCGACCTTGTGCTTCAAAAAGCTGCTGAGGAGGCTTGTTACATGTGCAACGTTGGAGTGATGGATGCGAGCGGCCAGAAGTACAACGCTGTCCTCCTGAACGTGATCGGCGATTGGCCGTTCCTCAAAAAATCTGGGCCATTTCAACGGTCGTTCATGAGCGTGCAGAAAAAGAAGACTACCAGGAATCCACCTGGTGGAGTGTGTCACCAGTGCTTGGCTGGTGTGGCTCCATGGGCTTGGGAGCAAATCGGCACCCGAAGGCCGGATTGGATTGCAACAGTCGCAACGCAGTCTCCGTTCGATGGTCCATCAGCTTTAGCTTCAGTGCCCCATGTTGCAAATCGTCTCGAGATGATGTGGGCATGGGATTGGTTTCATTGCTGGCACCTGGGTGTAGGCAAGTGCTTCCTGGCCAGCTCGATAGCACTGCTGAGCGAAAGGGAAAACGGGAGTTCAATCGATGAACGCTTTGCCAGCCTTACTGAGCGATATCATTCATGGTGCCGTGCAAATGGTCAGCGCCGTCAGGTTGTGAAGCTGAGTAAGGACCTGGTGGGCTGGCCGTCCACCAACGTCTTTCCTACAGGCATCTGGCATAAAGGCCAGCTCACTACCAGTTTGATGGCTTGGCTGGAAGCAGAGTGTTCCGCCAGCGACTTCAGCGATGACCCCTTCCTGCAGGCTGTGAGTGAGGCGAGCGGTGCAATTCAAAACTGCATCCGGCAGATGTATCACGAAGTGATCTTTCTCACACCTGCGAAGGCTGAGAGAATCGCAAATGAAGGCATGCGGTTTTTACGCCGCTACTTGAGCCTTGCAGATATGAGCAAAAGGTCGGGGCGGCTGTTGTTTGTTCTACAGCCGAAACATCATGCAGTCCATCACGTGATGGTGTCACTTTGGCAATCATCGCAAAAGAACCTTCCGTCCTTGAACCCACTCACTCTCAGTGTCCAACAAGATGAGGATTTCATAGGACGCGGCGCGCGTCTCTCTAGGAGAGTCACGGCTATGAGGCCGGCGCTCCAGCGCACTATGGAGCGGTATTTAATGTCGGTCTACCATGAATTTGAGAAGGCCGGATATATATTGCAGCCCTCGAGTTAAGGTGAACCCAGTGGTGAACCCCTTTTCTGAAAGCTTCAGCAGTATCAATAGACTGAAACACGTTGTTGTGATCTTGCCTTAGCTCAGGCCCGTGCTTCGTCTGTCGCGAGAACAGTGGCCCACCAGAGCAAAAAAATCTTGCGGCAGACCGTGCTTCTGATCAACGTCACTTCATCTCAAATGAGCAAACATCGGGTTTTCCTTCAAAACCTCGGGTTTTGCTGAGCACCCTTTATTTTTAAAGGTTTTAGAATGGTAAGGTATATACTATTTCACACCACTTTGAAACCGTCAGGCCAGACCGACTCCTCACGAATTCGGCCACTCCTTTCTTCCCCGTCACCCCGTCACCCCATCACCCCGATCCGATGGGCCCAGCTTGGGGGCGAGAGCCGGCCTCCTCGTCTCTGGGCCGCTTCCGATTCGGAGGCTCCTCCTGCGCGAGCGACGGACCGGAGGCGCCAGGTCCAAATCCGCGGGATTCGGAGGCAGTGAATCAGGTGCAGCTACCAATCTTTCGATGGTACATGGACCAAACCATGAGTTTGGAAGAATAGTGAATAGTGCATTCCTATAGGAATTAGGAAATGAGGTGCAGTGTTTTTCCAAAAGTACAGGGGTATTACGGTATAACTATATATATATATACTTATAGAATCCACAGTGAAATTGCCTCGTGCAAGGCGGCCAAAAGGTTTAATTAGCTGGCCTTTGATTGTAGGATCTGCCCATAATGAAGCACTTTGTATACCATGAATGCAACATGACTTACGCACACGGACGCAAACAGGTTTCAAGATACAGTGCTTCCTCACACAACCTAGTTTTTACTTATTACTCATTGCACCCTCTAATGCACCCCCCCCTGGTATTCCTGATGTCTCCGTGTATTCCGTCTCTTTAAAGAAGACCATCCAACGAACCTCCCAACGACACGAAAGCCCGGGGTCTCCTCGGCGATCCGCTTCCCCATGGCTCCAAGCCCAAGCTTCTTCTCGAGCCCCAAAAAAGCGGCGTCGCGTGTGACTCGTGTGACTCGTGAAGCCCAGTATAGGTCCTCTTACCGCAGGTATCGGTGGTGTTGTGAAGGAAGTGATCGGAGCAGCGAACAACCAGTGAAAAGAAACAGAACACCAGTGAAAAAAAACTGAACATCAGCGAGAGAAAACATGAGAAAACACGGAAGACTGAAAACAATGAAACAACACGTTGCCAGATGTGGTGAGGTGGTGTGGTCTCACAGTTCAACAATGTTCAATCCGTCCCAACCAGTCCAGACACTCCCCTCGAGTCCCGGACGCATCACCTGGGAAGCATCAGTAACAAATGGAAGAAAGCAATCAAGCTGTCTCAGGAAGGTTTAGAATGGTTCAAACACCTAAATTATAGAAGAACATGGAGAACAGGACAACGTACTATGTCATACTACATGCTTTTCATCGAAGCTATTATAAGACGGCAGTGGACAAGGCCGCCGTAGTTCAACATGTCTGAATGCACCCAAATAGGTTTTGCGGCTTTATAATGGTTTGTGATTTCATGAAGCCCTCTGCGCGCGGTCACGGTCGAAGGGACTCCATGCGCCGAAACGACCAGCCTCGAGGAGACGTCTGAATGCTGTGCTCCGTGGAGGAACGCCTGTCAGTGTATGGTTGAGGCCCAGAATGGTCCAGAATGGTCCAGAGAGGCAGTCCACCAATTATATCCAAAATCATCCAAATCACACCAAAACCAGGTCCAGCAAGGTTTTGTCTGGAACAAGCAGGGTGGGGACCATGACCACAACAGGCAAAAGATTCCGACGTTCCGGACAGATGGTCCCAGGAACAGAACTTCACGGTTCATCCAAAAGCAAAGCACGTTTGGAGCCCAGAAAACCTGTCCAGTCGATGGTGACCTGCAGGTGGTGACCTGCAACAGATCGAAGAGGAGACTGGCAAAAGCCTTTTGGACTGCCTTTTGGAGAACCTTTGTTGAACAACCCATTCCTGTCTTTTCCTTGCAAGTGATAATCTCAGGAAACTGTGAAGAAAGTGTGAAGAGTCACTTGGTCTGTCTACAATAGCTTCCCTTCAGGCCCTCTTACCTACTGACCATCCTGCACACTGACGGACTTTTACGCTTGAGCCTGCATCGCGATGCGTGACTTATGAGCCACTGTGCCCATTGAACATGCGACTGGTGAGCCAATTATTTTTCTTGGCAGGAATTGGAATTCTTAAAACAAACCCACCTCCATAACAGTCTTAGTTACTTGGTTTGCCTGGCTGGTTCCTGATACGCATCTTTGTGCATATCCAATAGCCAACAGTCCATCATCGTTTCGATGAAGCTGTTCGTCACCGATATGACGCTGCTGCCAGCTCGGCGTCGATCTGTAGGCAACAAGGGTCGCATCCGTCACGGTGCGGGGGGAAGCTAGTAGCTTCTGAAGCTACTCACCTCCACCTAATAACGATGGCCTCCACCCAATAGCAACAGGAATTGCCATCCAGTGAGAACATGAGACAACAAAAGCAAGGGCATCATGTGTTTCATCTAATTATCCAAGTTCCTTGAGAATGTTGGCTAACACCTGGCTTCAAGACACACCCTAAAGTTCGGGATATGTAAATTGCAATTCGGTCCTTTGGCCAATGCCTTACACTGAACTTGTAGTTCTCTGACCCGTAGATGAACGCCCAAATCAGACCGTAGCTGCCATGGCATGCCATTGCAAGCAATAATCAAGTATGGATTCCCTAAACTTCCGCCCCAGCTCCCCGCCCACGCTCGGGTAAGACGATGTTCTTCCACACGTGCTGGCAGTGCTGGCTTTGCAGGGGCATTCCTTTGGAGATAAGTTGGTTTGTACCGGTAGATCCCCAGTCCTAGTTAAGATCAGATGCTAGAATGTTGATCTGAAGCAACTACCCGACCTCTGTGTCATCCGATGATGTGTCTTCAAAGCAACTCTCTGTATAGTTTCATCTAGCCCTTGTTTGATATGACCCATGAGCGCCATCTGCAAAGTCACTTGCCAATACAGGCCACTGTCCCACTCTACCTTTGTACAAGGTGCAAAAGCAGAAAAATGCTGCCAACCACTCCAGCTGACAAAATGATGTCCAAGGTCTCGAGGTCGACTTGAGAGTTGCTCTAGCCAGCAAACATAGCAAGTTGGACTGCTTCAAATGGCCCCAAGCATGTCCAAGCAGCCATCCCTGGTCGTTTGACTCCAAACATCTATCCACCAAAAGACAAGGGAGGGCTGCTTTCTTGGAAAGGTTGACCGCAGTCGTGCTACGATGCAAAGTCAGTGTAAAGCCCTCAAACAAAACTCTCGTTTGCGGCTTTTGACCTTGTTGCCACAACTCAACGCTTGGACTACATGGCACATGAGGCTGTTGGAACACAAGCTGTTCCCTGCATAAGAAGAACCCACTGGGACAGCACGGCGCACTAACAAATCGGGCGCGTCCCACAGTAACTGGCAAAGGAATACGTAGATGAAACTCGCGTTTGAGGCTCGTTCCCAACGACTTCATGCATGCATCATCTACTGGTACCCCAACGACAAATCCCAGTAGAAGAACGCAAAGGCTCCGAAAGCTGAGCTGCAACCCACCCCGGCCTCCTTTTTTTTTCCACACGTTGAATCACTTTGACACGTATGGTGGAGAAGTGGCGGGCTGACTTGGTGGAGAAGTGGAGGGCACTCTCAAACGATGAGCTCCAACTCTTCACGGGCTCCTGAGATTGAAAACACAAAGGAGAAACAACTCAAGACACACTTGGCAGCACATGATCAAGATCCTTTGTGATCCTGTACCCTAGCTGTCATAAATAAAACGCATCTGCACAATTCTGCACATGTTTACTTCTGGTAGAGGAACCGCTTGAAGTCAATGCAGTCACCTGCCCCAACATCCGTTCAGCTTGCCGCGCCTGGCTTCAAGCTGTCAGTCATCATCCAATCCAGTACACGGGCAGGTGACAGCAGCTTGCCTCAGAGACGAATCTTCGTCTCAAAAACCAGCAACTCTTGGATGCTCTTGACAGTTCATCTGTCATGTCAGGATTCAAAAACTAAACTTTCTCAAACCAAGCCACAAATCCTCGCCAAGGTAAACCTAATTGAACACTGAAAATTGTGATGTTCACGGCACCATGTCCAAACCACCCCTAATAGTAATCCGAGCCAAACACAAAGTTCAATCTCCCTACTTCAACACACAAGCATTGTCCTTTGTTTTGTTTGTTGTCTTGCCTTTTCTTTGGATGTCTTTGTACTCTTTCCTTTTGAAATATATATATATATGTCTTGTACTCTTTCCTTTGTACTGTTTCCTTTCGTTTTGTTGTCTTTGTCTACCCCCAGATGAGTTAGGAGTTGTGCCAATTCTGAGATGGGTTGCCTATTGCACAAGTCCTGACACATGTGTCTGAGAAAAGTTGACTGAAAACATTCAGGAGGCACATGAGATAGGAGTTATACTGGTCAACACGTTTATTTTGTGCAATCATGTAATGACGTTTTCGTCATTGATGCTCCATTTAAGTTACATTGTGGTTCATTTAATGCATTTGTCATAATAACGAGTCTCAGTCTCAGTTATTACTTAAAACAAACGCAATACAACTTATATTATTTGCTATGTTTGACTGTCCCCTTTGGAATACACAAATTCACAGAGATAAGCAAAGCTACCCTCGGCTGATCTTGATTTTGATGGTAGATGCATGATGAGATGGGCGTATGGGCGTTGTGAACACACTTGGAAACACGTGAGATGGCACTTCGAAATGTGCACAGTCATTTCACAAGTCCCAACTCACTAGTGCAGAGTGTAGCTTGTTCTTTTCCTGCTTTCTTCTGGCACTTATTCAAGATAACTTCCATGGGTCACGATTGCTAGGTTTCGTTTTAGATACATGCTTAGTTGGCTTACAAAGGGTATCCAACACAAAAGGCCTCAACTGACACCCCTTTATTAATTACGTTTGATACTTTGTATCAGGCCTTTCTTGCAGTTCCAAGTCTTTGCTGTGTTTTCTTTCTCAAACCCATTGATTCCGCCAAGCCATACCTACTGAACCTATCCATGACATTGTTTCATCTACCAGGACAACTCGTTTACCAAAGAAACATCCAGCGCCCACGTCATGGGGGTCGTTCGTTGCTTCCATGCGTCACAACAGACCGTAGTGATGAAAGGCACACCCTGGCCGCTCCAGTCCCTCGGTTTCCCTGAACCACTCTTTGTTCAGAAAAACAGCGGTTCGCGGCTGTCTAGGCCGTTTCTCACCTCAAGCCTCGGGCCTCCCAGCTTTTGACATGCATACACTCTCAAACACTTTGACGGAAATTTGATGAAACACATACTGGGGGGCGGCATACTGGGCGACCAGACCGGTGCTGGATCACTCATGGATTCACAAAGAGAAAACACTTGGCTCTCCTCCTTACTGACCTCAATGTGCCACAAGAGCCACTTCTCCTGATGCCAGTCTATATATGCAAGTACGTTGAAGGCCAAAACAGAAGGCTGACTCCAGGTCGTAACAGCTTGGCATCATCCCCCGCTCTTGACACCCAAGCTACAGTAGTGAATACCAGGGCAAATCAGTGCATTCAGCTCTGTAAGCATTGCAGGGCTTTGCACTGACATGCAAGTCTTGTTCTCTTTCAAGAGAAGCCTTAGAGCATGCGAGATCTGTAGGCTGTTTGGTCCTTTGTGACCGATTGCCGATGGACAAAATCCTTCACTGGCAGAACAAGCCCATGAATACCCTCGCGTTCCCTCTTTAATACTGAGTTGAAATGTGTCATACAGTAAAAAAGTTGAATGACCAAAATCCAGCATTACACATAATTACCAAACATTTAAAAAATGAAACATTGAGTGGTGGGGGCGCGGGGGTCTGTGCTATATTTAGAAAACCACATGTGTTCATTTATTCATGCAGAATTTTGTCCATGAACAGTATGAGGGTAGGGCAAGAAAAATGCGACACCGAGATACCAATCCAAGACGCAGCAACCAGCTGGTAGGAAGATCAATTGTGAATTTCCCGCGGTCCATCTATTCCCCATGGCCATAACAATCGTGGGCTCATGGCTCCGGCATGAGAGCAGAATCTGAAGAATCTGGGCCATCATCTTGTTGATAATGACCAGCAAATTCTCCAAAAGTCACCTCTTTAGCCTAGCAACTAGGCGGAGGTAGTCTTATCTGGAGTTCACACCCATTGAGAAACTGGCCCAGCCCCGGCAGCACCTCCAATCCCTTGTGGCCAACCTCACACGAAATGGCCTGACTCTTTCATGCATCACTATATATACTATATAATATATATATATATAACCAGATAACATATAACACATACTTATATAACTATAAATTGTCTTGCGACATGAATCAACATCTTTCAATAGATTGAGAGTCCTCATGAGTGAGCCCCCCACGTTTCACTCGCACCCTCCAAACACCGCCAAGGAACCGGTCCTTGAACACCCAAACAGGGCCAGCCACCGACGGGGAATCGTCCAGAAAACACCAGGACCGTCCATGGGCGTTGTAGCGCCGCAAAGTACTGGAAAAAGCAAGCCTCAGAAAACCAAAGCAAAGGCCTGCGTGGCAGGAGAGAAAATTGTGAGGATGAGTGAACCAGATTCAATCAGAGGTCCACACTTTCAATGGCAGATTGTTTGAAAACGAATTGAGGTTTCGATTGATGTTGTTTTGTTTGGATCGCGAAGTAAGCACGTGCGTTTGGTTCTGCGAATGTGCCACAGCAAACTCCCACACGAATTGCGCCGGGCAGCGCCGGCACGGCAGGGTGAAACGGTCACCTTTGTCCCACTCTGGAAAGGTTGTGGTGGCTTGGCGCACCGCTTCGGCTTGGCTGTCTTTGATGGGATCTCGAAACTGACGTTTGCCAACCCCAAGGGGAGCAAGGAGGGGGGCATGTTCTTTCATGGGCAGCAGCAGTAGACTAACTTGGTCAGCATGTTATGTGTTTGCTCAGTCGCAGTCAGGACATCGGTAAATTCACTGGCGAACTAATGAGCCTCCCTCCATATTATGAGCATGAATCAACACAAAGGAAGGGCTTGCAAGGGAGTTGGTGTATGCCCACAACATACTCTTGCAGTTTTGACAGCTCACGTGTCTTCTGCAAAGTAGCCTGGACTCTGACAATGTACCCGTGGAACTCCCAAATGATTCTACTCTAAAGACTGATGGTGGCCATGCAACACCAACGCTGGCCCCAGCACTTGACAGCTGCGCTTCAAGACTGGCAAATAATCAACCAGTGAGGTGGGGAACACATTCTTGCGACTCTTGCAGCTTGCAGTCTCGATTCAACCCCGTACAGTCTCGATTATGGTGGCATTCCACATGTCACATCAGAAAAGTCCTAGCTCCAAAGCATCCAAAGTCCAAAGAGTCTGTTGTCAACTCATGCACGTCCCTGAGTTAAACACAACAAATAATCGATATGCACGGAAACAGCATGGGGGTCTGTCTCACATGGTTCGGACCAGGCTCAAGCCAAGGACGGGGCCTAAGCAGGCTTGCAACAGAGCTCTGAGCAATACCGGTTGCATCTTGTCTTGCGGGCTTTACTCAGTGAGCGAGACACTGCTGAATCATAAGAATATTTCAGCGAGCAATGACGAGGTGCCCACATATTGCAGTACTTGGCGCAATCATGCGCAATCCAAGTTCTTCTTTCTGGATATCTTGGCCGGAAATCGATGAAGAATTCCTTGCATGATGCTCTTCCTTCAAAAGAACTTCTTTGGCACACCGCACACCCTGTAGATTCACAGCTGAAACCTCAAGACCAAACGTCTGCCTATAGCGGTTTTGTTTCCAACTCAGGTCCGTGATTTCAGCACGACGGGGCCAGGCTGACTTGGGGGCTCAGTTCCCTCAGTGCTGTTAGGGCCAACGTGAAGGAGGCGGCCTCTCAAGTCGAATTGCGCCATTCTGAGCAAGTGAGACCGCCATGAGGCTGAACGAGTTTGTAAGCGCGGCGAAGGCCAAGGTGTTGAACTTCACTGACCACGAAAACAGTACAAGGCAAGTTTAGTTTAGTCTATTCAGCTATATGGCTGGCTTTGTCACAGCTTAAAATCCCTCACTGCTTGGTACTTGGTAGAAATCATGCATCCAACCATGCCAATGAAGACCTCGCCGTTGGGCCACCGCAATCGGCCCCACCATCCGTTCTTCACGGTTTTCCGAAAAGCGACCGAGCTGACCGAGCGCGGACGCTCGGCCGCTTCGTCACGTGACCGCTGCGGTCAGCGTCTGCACCGGACACCGACACGTGTCCGTTGAGGCGCTCTGACCGCAGTGACATGTTCAGGGCTGGAGTCTGACTTGTCTGGCTTGCAAAGAGCGGCTACGAACAGTCTCAAGAGCAGGATCCTGGGTGCTTCTTAGTTGAGGTTGATCTGGTGATTGCGGCCTGCACAGAAAAAGGGATGCTTAATGTTCAATCAAGGTAGCGCATATCTTTCTGTTTCTCTCTCTCTCAGAATGTGAGTGTATGTGTGTTTATCTCCCCTGCAGGAGTTGGTGAACCCTTGGCTTGCTTCGGCGTGCTTGTTTTCTGCAAGAAACCTCAACATGTTGCATGTTGGACTAGAGACCCTGTTGAAAGAAAGCATGTGTGATTGAAATGGAACGAATGTCTGTCTGCTTCCGGTAAAGAAACCGGACACAAACGGTGGCACCTTCTGCAATTTGTTCGAGCTTCGTCTGACCTGAGAACACAGGGGTTGTAGCCAAACGACCTATACTTCCTTTGCAAGCGGTCAAAGGCAAGTGGTCAAAGGTCCAAGATGTCTTTCTTTTTTTTGGTGCGAGGATACGTCTTGTTTCGCCAAGAATGCCCGAGAAGGACAATTCAAATTTGCTTTAGGCCAAGAATACAGCACAGGCACTTGCCTTCGGGTGTACTTGGAACGACTGTGCTTGTGGGCCAGATGATGTCCATGTGTGGGGTGCTGCTCATTCCTTCTTATGTCAAGAAAGCTTGGATCAAAAGCCATGTATCGTCAAGGTGCAGCCACTTGTGTTTGCTTCTGTCTGGACCTCGCTCCTTTCCACAGGATAGAGTTGCTGAAGTCGTGCTGCAAGAGCTTCAAACAAAACGCATGTTCGTCCCAAAGCTTCAAGTGAATCCTTCGGATGAGCTGTGAATCCTTCAAGGAGGGAAATCGGAAAGCAAAGCCATTTGTGCAGCTAAAGCTTGATTCAGATCAGTGCATTGTCATTCACCTGTCCTTCGCGATACAGCCCCTTTCCCGCCACGTGTGCTAGGCTCCCTTCAGCAAGCAAAAAATGCACTCAGGCCAGGTTGGTGGCTAATGTATTCAGCCTATATTCAATAGCCCAACAACAGCTGTCCAGAAGATGTTGGCCCCGAGACCGGCTTCGATCCGATGCCGGGCCGGACCCATGCGTCCGATGCAGCCAGTGGCAAGCACAGCTGGCTTGGAACATCCGACCGACCTGGGTGAGTTCACATCTTGGGACCTAAATACCCCCCTGTTCTCAGGCAAACTGATCGAATTCGAGTGGCGACCTGCGGAGTCGCCTTCAACCCGGACCGGGCCACGTCCACCCCCAGCCCCTGCAGGCGTGAAGGGGATGACATCAGGTGTGAACAGGTGCAGTAAACCCACAACATTTGACCATTTCCGGCTGATCTAGCTTCGGGCTGAATTTGCATGGTGGAAGAAATTCAAAAGTGTGTTACGGCTTTGGTCCAAGCAATATCTGCAAATTGGGGTCGGCATTGCACCCTAAATCGTCCAAGCTTCAAAGCATCCAAAGTGCTAAGGGTCTGGTTGCCACTGAGGGATCTGAATTCAGCATGACAACAAATCGCTTTACATGGGACCAGCATTGAAGTCTGCCTCATTGGAACAGGACCAGACTCAAACCAAGGACGCAGCCTGAGCAGACTTGGGGCAGAATTGTACTCTGATCTGTCATGATCGTCTGTGGTCCAAGATCACGCCCTTGCAGGAGTCGAGCCCCAAAAAAAACCTATGGCTTTCAAATTCCAACGTCTACTGAACAAACACGACCCCAAAAGAGCAGTGAGTGAAAGCGCAAAATAATTTTGAAGGCAAATGTACCAGCTTTGGTCAATGCAAGATCCGCAAATATCCGCAAGTCAGTGCACATGTCAAATAAGGCTAGCTTGATTGAGTCGACCACATTTGAAGGACGTCCACTTGTACGGTTACATGTATCTTGTATTCAGTGCCACAAGGGCTAGATGACCTGGATCCCGTTGTCAAGGAAAGCCTTGTGTTTTGGGACCATCATGGGAGTCCCTTTCAAGCTAAACGTGTTTCAGGCAAACAAAAGAAGTTTGGATGGGAAAGGGCGCTGGGTTTGAGTATACATTACATGGTCCGAAATTCGCATCAGCGCAGCAAAAGTCGGTGGCAGCGGAAACAGAATTCATATTTCGTGAGTCAATCAGCTTTGACCAAAGAGGCATCTGAGGAAGATCGGCAGGTAGCATGCTCTTTCATTGCGCGCAGCAAAAGTAGACTTGGTTAGCAGGTCTTGTTCTTTCCTTGTCGCAGTCAGGACATTGGTAAACTCATGGGCGAACCAATGAGCCTCCCTCCATACATACGCCCGGGTGAAGAGTACCCTGTTGTATGTTACAATGCCATGGAAACGCTTTACGGAGGTATTTTATCGAATACTGGTTTAAATCAATCAAGATTTTATTGCCCCTGCGCACAAAGACACAAGATTTATGTCAAAGTTTATAGCATTGGCGGGGCATATCTTGCCCACTAGCCCCTGCAAAAGGGGGAAGCTAAACCTGAACTATTTCTAGAGCTCCTATCAACAATCAACCACCATCGACTGAAATCGTATGTAAATATTCATTGATGTCTCTGAGAGAGGTCGACCGTATCTCTGGTTTGTTCCAATTGAGCGGCGGTTGGTCGCCTTCTTCGAGTCCCCAATGCTAAAAGTATTTTGCGTTGGCCCCTGTCAGTTTTCAGTGTTATGGAATGCAGTCATCAATTGCGCGGGGTTTTGATCAATTCAGACATATTCAAGGCTCATTACTAAAGTACATGTACGGAGGTTTTGTCGGATGCTGATGTGATGGGATGGGGGGGACGCATAGTGATTAGCTTGAACTGCATGACAAACCACCATCTTCGATACTATGTGGTGTCTAGTCTACTATTCACTTCGTGGCAATGCTGCTGGTGCACCAAATGAGCATGATTCAAAACCTATCCAGAATTTTGTTCCAATGGATGCTCTTTCGCAACACTTTCGTGGCCTGCATGTTTGCGAAATTCTGTGCAAAACCACGTCACTTTCACAAGCGTTCACAAAAATATTGAATGGTTTGTTGTTTCTCTTAACTTGCTGGGTCTTCAGGGTCAGGAGCCTTTTGGGGCATTCATCTCATCAAACACTTAAATTGATGTTGCCATCGTTTTGTTGAAACACACAGAAATTACATCAAACGTGGTCCTCACATTTTCTCACTGCAGCACAAGAAAGCTGTCCCTTGAAAAGCTCAGTGGTAGGAGGTGTTGGGGCAGCTTCCTGTCGACACCTACAAAGTTGGGGCCTTCGACATCATCTTGCTACTTTTCCTCCGACAAACCAGGCAAAATCATTGGCTGTCAAGGCGGCCGCGTCTGCCACCAATTAACGGTGCTATGCTGTCCTCGTCTGACCTCAAATCCTATAAGAGTGCCAGGCTCCAACTACCCAGTGACTCGCAATACCAGCGTCCATATCCCCAAGTAGGTTGTCAAAATCCAAATAGTTGATGCATTCCTTTAATCTACCACCCTACTCTTGAGCCACAAGCTCCTCCACTACCATCTTGTGTCCAAGGCACTCCTCTGCCAGCTGCACGGCGCGCTTGTTCATCTCTTTACAGGGCAAATGATCCTCCAGCGCTTGCACCTGCCCATCCGAGGGTATAAACACCACCCGTGAGGTGTTTAGCGTGTGGAAATACAAATTGATACAAATTGCTTTCTGTTGCTGTTGTGGAGGCCTGGAATTCAGCGTGAACATCCACAAAGCTGAACGAAGACACCCATGTATCGATCAGCTGATCAAATCTCAGAAGCTGTTCATCCCCAACAGAATGTCGACACTCAGGGAAATAAGTGGCACAACATCTTGCGAAAATATGCGAAAATTACGATCTCTCAAACCAACAGCTGAGTCTCAAGCTCGACAGAAAACGGTAGAATGCCGCTTTCAGCGGGTAAATGTATAGGAGGAAGATTCTCTTCCCGTATGTTTAGTGTGTGCACTTGCTCACACTCTCAGGCATTGCAAACATCAACCCACAAATTTTAATGCAACAAGCTTCCCTGCAAGCAACATGGAGGTGCAACAGACCTGTTCGGTCGAAAAAGAGTGGTCTGTCAGTGTCAGTCTGCTTTCCATGTTCCACTTGTCCGCCAGAAGGAATGCACCCTCCAAAAAAAAACGAACCACCAAGCGTTCCACAGCAGTTCCATCAGCCCCTTGAACTCCAACCCCCAAAAAGAAATGGCTCGCCGGCCCACCGCGTCAGCTCGGCGCGCGGAGCGGTCAAGCTCCGGCGTCTCGGCTCGGGACGAAGACGGCCTTCAGCTTCTCTTCGATCCGTGTGGCGCTCACCATCTTGCAGCCAATCTCCAGGGCCGCGGTGATCTTTCCGGTGTTGCCTATAGTTCACCGGAGGGCGGAGGTCGGCTGCAACCGGAGGTTCGTTCCAGTCATATCTGGCCCACCTGCAATTCCGTGAGATTCGTGGGTGAGATTTCTTCTCTGGACCCTTGGTTTCCAAAGTCACAAACTTTTTGTAGACGGTACTTGACATGCCAAACAAACACCGTCAACTGCTTCCAACAAAGAAAAGACCGCCTTGTCCTAGCATGATGCCACAGTGTATGATATACCTGCCTGTGCGGAACACAAAACCCCGGGAGGCCCTGATCCTTGCAAGCCCAGTTCGCCCAAAAAGCCCTGCATCACACATTGCTACTAGCAGCTTCTTGCTACTACTAGTAGCGATGGCCTCCACCCTACTAGCTTCTTACTACTACTTCAAGAACCCTAAAGTTTACGCTTCTTGCTCTGTTCCAACATGACACTTGCGGTCTACAGCGGATCGGATTAACACGTCCATTTTGCGTGGCAGGTACAGCACGGTCAGATTTCCACACCCGTTTAAATTTATAATATTTATAAGGCTTTCAGGTGTGGAAATCTGACCGCAACTGAGGTGTCGACATGTTGCACGTAGGATTCTAAGGGGAAAGGGTTTGTGATGTTTTAGAAGTCAAGAAGCGCAACTTTTGGCACCCCAGTGTAATACATAGCTAATTGTTACTAGTAAGGCCAGGAGCGCCCCTAGTAGCGTCCTTGCTCCGTTCGTAGCGTTGCCCTTTGCTCCGTTCGTAGTTTCTTGCTACTTACGTTGCCCAACAGCGCCAGAAGTCTGAAGCCCATGTTCACTCCTCTTTTCCCCCCTCGAATCCCGTCTCGTGAGTCGACACGTGTCTCGCTCGCGACCGGACCTCGGAGATCCGAGGCGCTGAGGTCCGGGTAGTAGTTGGTGTGACTACAGGATCTCACCGTAAGTCCCTGAGAGGCCTGTGGATGTCCGAGGCTGTGACTTTAGACGACGAAGAGTGTTTTGAGCGAAAGCGAGAAGGACTGGGGTTATGACGCTTTATGCTTGCAAGCCTGCTACAACCTCTTTTTGATATAATATAAACATATAATAGGTGTCCTAGAGTGAATCAGAAACACACCCTGCTTCAGCTGCTTCAGGGGAAAGGGAAGCAGGTTGCAGGAAAAAGTCAATGGTCATGGTGGATATGTCTGAGAATAGGGCAGACCCCGATGAGTGTACTGTCCTCTTTCCCAAAGGTGGACCTGGAGTCTTCAATACAACCTAAAAGAAAAGGAAAACACCATGGGAACTAAATTTACTTGTGGAAAACCCCCCAGAGAACTTTGTCCCCTCCAGAAGGGCTTGGTTCATTTCCTCTATTGCGCAGCTGACGTAATGCCCCTGCATCGCCTGCGTCCAGTTGGGATGGCAGTGCTCCAAGTTGGGCGAAGAGATGTGGAAGCCATCTAGGACCTGACAGGAAATGGATGTGGAGTCAAAATATGTAGACCCTCCCAACCCCACGTGTTTGTTCAAGCCCAAATCAGTGGGTGACAAATCATCTGTGGTCTCCCTGCACTTCAAGACAAAACCAAATATGTGTGGGGTCAAGATGAGAGGACAATCCTTATCTTACCAGCAGTTCAGCAACATCTGGGAGTCCTGGGAGGTTTGAAATGCTTGTCGGTCTAGAGCACTTGCAAAAGACACCACACCACCCTAGACCCTAGAGGTGCCTCCAACTTAGCCTCATCCTCCGCTTGGAGGCCGCTCAGTACACGCTGCGCCAGAGCGCAGAAGGGACTAGAGCCTCAGGGTGGCTCTAGTAGAGCTGTTTCACACGAAACCGGCGGTTTTCTGTTCGCTGCATTCTCATCCTCGTGGGGCGGAATATATATATATATATATATATGATCATATTATAGTTGTAATCCTTTCCTTTCCTATTTCTTCTCGCGAATGCCTGGCCGTTTGGCTCCCGTTTTCGCACAGATACTTATAATTCCGAATGCCGAATGCCTGCAAACATTGTGTTCCTTCATAGGCAGCGGCATCTGGTAGTTCCACAACTTTACTGGAGTCTTGTCGGCGTTTGAGCGTAGACCTCTAGCAGCTAGCAGCTCTTGTATGATCAGTGAATTTGTCGACAAACTAAGGCAAACGGCAAACAGCCGGGATTAGCGACATAGAAGGCTTCAAAGGCATTCCAGCTGCATCCGGGCCCTCTAGAACACAAATGTTCAGTTTTGGTCACACATTGTACGGAACCTCATCTTCCTCATCTTCCGTCTTTTTCTTGTGCTTCACCGAGGAACCAGGTGGACAGCAAGATTGTACCAGCCCAGGTCGGGTGGAGTTGGACGCCCCTGACATCCCCTGACTCTGTATTTTTCATCCACTAATCCACGGACGCCACCCGAAATGGGTGTTGCTGTATATAGACCATCCAAAAACATCTACTAACGTAGTAACTTTCAATGGAGCACGAAAACCTCCCAAACACCCAGTTCAAATATCTTCAAATGGTGCCTTTTGAAAGCCCATCTCCCAACACCCGCCTTCGCTGCTCACCGAGTGGTTCTCATTCCTCTCCCAACTTTGGGCCTGAACTGCCGCGGACCACGGACGGTGGACGGACTGCATCCGTTCCGAACGCACACCTACGAACCGATGAATCCACTGAAAGTGTTCCTGGAACAAACATCCCAGACATTGACGCGCATGACACAAACTGCGCGATGCGTTTCAGCCATGGAAATTCTCTGACTCCATCTAACTTGAAACTCCCATCCCAAACAGCCGCGTCTGCAGTTCTGACCACCTGCCCCCTTCAAAGAGGTCTGCCCGACCTTCAGGTACGGCGTCATCAGCTTTTCAGTCCACTCGACTTGCTGCTGCAAAAGCTCAAGGGCCTGGGCTGCAGTTCAAATCCCGGTCACCAAAAGTCTTGTTCCAGGCCACCAACTCCGAGTCTGGTGTAAGTGAGCTGAAACAAGGTATTTGTTGGACGGACTTTGAATAGACATGTTCATGAAGACTCCTGAGATGGGTTTGATCTGGTTTGATCTGCCACCAACGCCACCAAGATCGGTGCACCAAACCGATGCCCTTATTGTTCACCAGGTGCCTCTCACATCACGATCATCTCCAAGCTGCACGTTGCGCAATTTGGCTGGAGGTCTTGGAGTCATGGAGCACTAGGAAGGCACTCACGCTTGAAGCGATCACACCTCACAGGGCTCAGGGACATGACCGACTCAATGACGAACGAACGACGAGGGCACCGGAAAACGCCACCCCGAAACAGCGTGGATGGAAGGCGCTGCTTCTTGAATGCGCCGTGCAGCACCGCCTGTCTCGGTGGGCTGAAGCATGTCGAAACGCCTGGATGGGGGACCATCAGACCCTTCCTTTCTGGAAACGAGGGAACGACATGCGGAGGTGGGTTCGCTGGCAATCCTCAAGGAAATAATCAGAACCCTCCTGCGAAAATACCCAGGGACAAACCTGCTATAGTGGTGGCAGGCAAATACCACATGAGGTTTCTGTTCGGCAAAAATAATACAAGAACACCATAGAAATCCATAGAACACCCTGCGTGGAATCCAGTCTAGTGGTGAAAAACACGCTGATCTCGGATGATTTGGCATGGACCGGTCAAATCATGATTTCAACTGAGGTGCTGGTGGCTTCTTCCTGAGGCACCTGGCAGCAGGTCACTGATTGTCCAACCATGGGACCATCTGTTTCCTCTGAAGAATCAAACATGCCTCAAAATCGATATTTTCAAGTTGGCCATGCTTGAAAAGGAGAGACCTTCATCGGGACAAAGAATCCATGTTCCCCAACAAGTCTTCGTTCAACCCTCCATTCAGTCGGGTAGAATGAACGGCCCTGTGGACCTCGGGACGTCTGTCCCCAGATGGCTTGGAAAGGCCCAGATGGCGCCACTCAAAAACCCAAAGCATGAATTCCCGCGACGAACACACCGACGTGGATCACCGAACAGATGTACGTGACGCGTCGCCACGCCTCTGCCATCAAGTCGCCCGGGACGTCGAAGCCAGGGCAGAAATTCGAGTGGTTCAGCTGGGGCAGAACCTGGGCAACTGACGCAGGTCATCGTCTTCGATATGGTCATAGTCTTGCATCTGACCCAAAATGGCATGTTGACGGACCCGATGGCATGGCCTAACCTGATCAACCTGGACACACACACACACACACATACAAACCAAGAAGATAACACCTCTGGATTACATCTGGGTTGCACGGTTTGAGCACTCCGAAGTCTTAAAAAGGTTTCAAGTGGGCCCAGCTCTTCAAATCATGTTCTGCTTTTGGTTTTCACCCTTTTGCGAGTAGGTTTTGGATTTGGTCCCAGAGCATGATCAATCTTCCCTCGAAAGCCAAGCCAACTTAAAGTGTCTTAAAGTAAACAACGCCACGTCAGCTCTCTCCCCACAGCGAAAAGAGGAACGCTTATGAAGGCTTGTGGCAAAGCAAAATAGTCGTCACAAGTCATGCCTCCTTGTTCTTCACTAGTTTCCATATGGATCCATGTGGCATACCACCCCAACGACTTTCGCAGTGTGTTTTCGAAGTCATCCCACATTTGCATTGTCTGAACGCTAGCGCCCATGAAACTTCGACGAAACTCCAGCGATGCGGCGTCGTGATACGCCACGCCCGGGCGCCGCACCCCACACCAGTGCAGCGTGGTAGCAATCACTGGCTTGGATCGGACAGGATCGCCAGAGCTCCTGGCAGGTGGAAGTATTGTCAAAAATGCACGTTCTTTGGAAGCCAATTTGAACTGTGCGTTTAGCTTATGTTGGAACGCAAATTGGGGTGCAACTGGTGAGCCGTGGTTCTGTTTGGAGACCTCTTTACATCAGGAAAACCCTGTGACAAGCCCTTTCAGTCCAAGCCCTTTCAGTTGATTCTGTCCACAGGCGCCCATCCACCGGGGTTCAGCTGATTCCTGGCGACCAACCAGTGACACCGTCGCGGCGCCTCAGCGTCAGGAACTGGCGCCACCAGGTGGAGATCTTCCCCGGCCGCGCGAGGCCTCCGTCCAGCTCCACGTTCAGCGAGAGCACCTGGACGAAGATGAGAAAAGGGACAGTTTTCAGCTAGATTTTGAAGTTCACAGACATGACACGGATATTGATAGTATCATCATGTATAATAGAGTGTATGTAACTGTATGCATGTCATCTACTATGTCGTCCTCAATCCCCCTGATCATCCTGCCATACCGAACCGTGAGGCCACGACGTCCCTGTCCGTGTCACGTCCACCGCACCGTTCGTCCGGCCGTCCGTTTTCGGCGCGGACGACCGCGGCGAGGAGCCGGCACGGGATAGTGGATCAAGTCGAACTCTCCTGGGCAGTTTTTTGGGACGAAGCGCGACGAAGCGGTTTTGGCGGCTTTTGGGGCGGTTTTTGGGCGGGTTTTGGGGCGGTTTTGGAGCGGTGTTTGCGACGTCAGCGGTTGTTGGCAGTTTTTTGGCGGTTGTAGCGAACCGGACGCGGAACCGGACGCAGAAGCGGATGCGGAGTCAAGCGATGGAACATCGCAAAATTCACGATAGGTGATTTGAGGAAGGAGGATAAGATGAAGCAACCCGAAGGTATCAACAGTTTCTTTCCTCTGAGGTTCAGTGTATCTTCTTGTTGAGTGGGTTTAGTGACTCTGATGTCCGCAGGTTGGAAACCCGACGCAAAGGTTTCCAACGGCGATCACCGGAACAGATTTCATCCTGGGTAGGGTAGATGTTCTGACTTGGCGAACGATGAACGAGTGGAGGTGGGCACTGGCCAAGTAACCTGCTTCATCCACGTAGCCACCCATCACAATCAGCCCAGCATAAGGCGGAGAAGGCCCCTTGTTGTAGGCCTCGGAGAGAAAAAGCTGCTGCCAAGGGGTAAAGACACTGATTGGGATGTGAATTAGCTCTCGGCATTAGTTTAGGTGTCCGGTCTTGCTCCATCATGGCGAAGAATCTACAGTATGTGAAGTCTTTCTAACCTGTCTTCAAGTCTCCATGGGTCCATGGTTCAGTTTGACAGTCTGGACACCTCCATGTGGTCATTAATAATGATATGTCATGGCCCGGCCCCTCCAATTCACTGCCAAACACGACCACTCGGGTTCCTGTTCATTCCCGAATTCACCACATGGAACCCTCCATTTGACGGTGTTCGGATTCTGAACTGGAAGTCGTGGTCCTGTTGAGCCCACGTGGACTGCGCAAAATCTTCCTCATCATGGTCTGTCCTACGTCCTCTCCTTGGATTGCAAGCCTTCCGTGGGATAGGGAATGGAAAGGGTCCTTCAGATTCTGCTTCCCTTACCTTTCCCGTATACGTAACAAATGCCTTCCAACACGTCAATCTTCCTCGTTCCTCGCAGTCCTCGCCTGGAAGAGCATGTTGGCGCAGGTCGACCCCAACGAGTGCCCGGAGAGCCACAAGTCCTGTCGAGACAGGTGAGAAACGAGCTGTCCTTTTGGACCTGGATATCTGGTTTAAAACAGGAGGGCAACCATCTTCTCACAGCAAGTGATTGTGTACAGCTGTCCATACCCCTCTCTTTTTTTATATCTTGGGTGTCTGCATCTCGAGGTAATTAATACACCTCCACTAGCCGGTCTAGACCGTTTTCTTCAGCTCTTCTCCCAACTTTTTTGAGGAAAGCCCCTAGTCTCTTGCGAGTGGAATCGAAGCTTCCCCACAAAATGCACCGCGCAAATTGGTACAACATGGTATATAATCTTTGGTGTGATGTCAAGTTTGGTGGCTTCAGGACATCTGGCATCTTACCACTTGGGAATCGGTGAGATGCTTGGTCAAATTTCCACATCACCAGGCATAGCCTTGAGGGTATGTGTACGTGTGCAAATGCGCCAGTCAGGATCCCCAAAAGCATTGTTGCAATGGCTTGCGTAAAACTGTTGGTCCAACCCTGCAACCCTTGACAAAGGGTCAAAAGATTTGGAGACAAACCCGAACCCACCGCTGCCCACCGCTCTCGACTTACGTCCTGGGGGTCTCGCTGCCAGCCAGCCCGAGCCGCCATGGACAAGGCGGTCTGACGGTGTTCGACGGTCGTTCCAGGAAAACTGTAAGGCCAGGAGCTACTAAGCTACTAGTAGCTTCTTGCTCCTTGTAGCGATGGCCTCCACCTAATAGCGTTGGAAAAATCTGAATGAAAACTGCTGACAAAGGTTCGAGGTCGAGCGGTTCTGAAGAGCGATGGGAAAAAAAGACTCAGCTGGCAATTACTTGACTCAAGTAGTTGAGTCTTATAAACCAGCTGCTCAAATATGAAAAACTCAAGTGCTATGGTAAATATATAAATATTATAAATTATAAGCCTTGGCACTTCAGCCGCTCTCTTCAGCAAAGCTTACATTGAATATCATGGAATCAGATGAGGAGCCAGATGGGACTGGCTTTGCACTGAAAGTTTTGGAGAACAATAATCAGCAAGACTTCCGGGACCGGAGATCGGTGGTCATCCAAGAGGGGCAAAAGCATCTGTGGAACCTGAAATACCCTCACTGTCTGACGTCATTGGTGTGCATGGACTGTCAGCATGCCCCCCTCAACTCACAGTGTTGCTCTTCTTCAACTGAAGATAAAATCAAGTCCAAACTCTTGGACATACTGGGGAAGATTTGGGCCTGAAAATTGTGCTCACCCAACCCATGTGCTGTGATTTTGAGACAAACAGGCACAGGAATTCTAGCGGACTTGGGAGGTTGCAGAGAAAAAATCCTCCTTAAGTGGTCTAAGAAATGGTGACACCTTTCGAGAAAACCACCCCAAACCACCGGTGAAAATGTCTTCACCTTAGCTGCCAGGCAAACAGTAATTATTCTTGAAACAATTGCGATCAACATATTTGCAGATGATTTGACTGGAAAACGGGACTTGGCTCAATCTACTTGTGCCCCCCCAACCTTAGCTGCAGCCTCTAGAAGGGTTCTGGTTGACCCAACACGGAATAACATCCGCAGAACGTCTTTCGCCTCAAGACCCGGCTGGGCCGTCGGCCTCGACCGGAAGCGGCGTTCGTTCCGGAAGCGGCCTCGACCACGCCATGCAGTGGAGAGCAAAAGAACTTGCCAGGGCAGCTGATCATGCAAAGGTTTTGGAAGACACTGGGAATCACCTCAACCAATGGCCGCTGAAGCAACGCTGCTCGTGCCGCTGATCCGCAGGGTGTGTTGACAAAACTGGTCTCTGGGGTTGAAAAGGAGAGCGCTCTTAGCACATCTGAGCTCAAGAATGGTAGCCAGGTATAGCCAGGTTTGTTTGGCTCTCAATGTGTCAGGGTTCCTGAGCACGGAGTTTCACTACAGGGGCCCTACTTTATCACGTTCCACATCTCCCCTGAGGAGGTACTGGCTGGGGTCGGTGAGGAGAGGCAAACTGCTTTCTCTTGATCTCCTCCAAGTCTTGCTCTACAGGATCCTGCGCACCAGTCCGTATATGGAGGTTGACTTGGAGTGCACTTGCAAGTTATATAGATCCGTAAGGGATCTTGCTCCCGACCCCACGGATTTACTTCATGCACCATGTCTACCCCACACTGCTTGGTTCAATGGTCGACTTGGAAGGGTGGCATGTACCGTCTACCCCTACACTCCACATATCTTCACATGATCATGGCTATCCATGGGACTATCCATGGCGTGTTGGGATCTCTCTGGCCAAATCCATCCACCTTCGCGCTGGGCGTCCCGTGCGACCCAGAGATCGGAGCCTTTCTGTGCCATCGCCTCCTAAGAAAAGGCAGGCCAGCCGCGGAAGGAGTCCATGATTGACCTGGTTTAGTCTAAAATCCTCAGTTTACGGGATCATTGACTTAATGGTCTAAGATCCTTACTCTAAAATCCATAAGTAAAACAATGCAAAATGGTTGCTGACCCTTAAACCAAGTGTGGGCCAGGAAAGCTAGGGTAGAGGGTCACATTCAACCCACCACAGCATCTGCGGAGTGAAGTTGGGACCATGAGCACCCTTCTTGCGGAGGGGGATGCGCCCCTGAAGAGGGCCCTTACAAGTGGTCGAAAAAGCATCCGATGCCAGGTATGGTTTATGGTTTCTTGGATGCTTCTTTTGAGGCCCAACAAATCCCCACAAGCTGTTCAACCCCTCCATCTCTTCAACCCGATGGATGGGCTTCAACAGGCTCTCTTACCGCCCGCACCTGGATGGCCGCTCCCGTCGCCAGGTAGTGCTCGTTCGGCACCTTCCCTCCGGGGAGCATCACCTACGAGACGCGCGGACGAAAAGCAGTGTGGCCCCTCAGTGGCAATGGGTGCGTTCATAGTTCTGGACTTCCAAGTAGTGTGCAAACTCTCTCAACTTCGGGGCGGTCACATGATGCGTGTGGTGCTCCAACAAAGTGAAAATATAGAAAAAATATAGAATCAATGTTAAACCTGCAAAACCAATTTTACAGATAATAGATACACATACTGTACAAAATGCACCAATCGCCTGGCCGTGACTTCACCTGGTTCATGTCCAAACACACACCAGAACCGGATCTGGCTTGGTCGCCCCAGGTGCTCGTGGTGATGCACCCAGTTGCTGGACGGTTGCCACTCGACTCATATCCACTCGAAATCCATCCAGGTTGCCAGCATCTTGCGGCTGGTGGCATCCTGCGGTGGGGGATCGCTCAAACGCTTTTCAGGCAGATCGACTTGGCATGTAGAGGAGGTGACTGTGTGCCTCCCAAACTGGAGGGATCAAGGTTCCTAGAAGAAAGTTCGTGCAGCACATCCTGGCAAGTCCAGTCATCAGTTCTATCCAAGAGGCTTCCGACAAACTCGTCAAGCCTGCCTACGAGTATGGGTTCAAAAGAAGAAGGTTTGCACTGAAATAGTTATACTCTTTGTGGGGAACATCATGCATCACCCTGAAGGGACTCCCTGCCCATTCATCTACTTGCCCTCTTCCCAGAAATCCTGTGAATACATAGTCATATTATGTCATATTTGGATATCCTTCAACATCCATCTGCAAAGTTACCAAATCATACTCAGCTCATCCCCGTCTCCATCCCAACCATCCGTTTCTTCGCCCGAACATCATCGCTGCGGTGCCTTGGGCAGCAGCACTTGGTGATCGCCCGCCGCGAGGACGAGCGCGAGCGCGGCGGCGATCAGCAGCTTCATGGCTTCCAAAGGTTTAGAAATCCTGCGGACGTGGACCTCTTGGGGGCGGAATAGATGTTGAAGATTGTTGAAGCATCCCATGGCAATCTGCGCAAGATGAAAGCGACTATGGTGACTATAGTGGCTGGTCACTGCGAGATTTGAAAGACTTGTAGTGCTTTGAAGCAAGTGCTGTGATGTAAGTGTGGGGGTGATGGTGAGGGCTATATATCTTTTGTTGGCTGCATCTGCCATGACAATGGCTGCTATGTGAAATTAATCAGCCAAACACAGCTGCAACAATTATTGACCATTCTACATACGGATACGTACATAATCCTCAGGCAGCATCGGTCCAACGACATGGCCTTGGTGTTTCAATGGTGGAAAGTCTTGCGTCCTCAACTGCACGTCCTCTTGGACGGGAGCATCAAAAAGCCTCATGGAACTTGTGTCTTGGATTCCAAAAAGATCATCTCTGTTTCCTCATGGAAACTGAGTCTCTTTCCCAACTTCAAGATCCAATTGCTATGGGGTTCACACGGGATTCACAGGAGTACGAGCTTTGACCCATTTCAGTGAGCTGATCTCCTGTTCTTTGGATAGTCAACAATCCCCCGAGGATGAACGCAGAAACTGGCGTGCCGCCCACCCACGGTCGGCCGTGCACCGATGGCCTTTGTTGCAAGTCCACCTCGATTCAGCCAGCGATGAAAGGGACAGAAGGATGAATGAGAAAGAGTTTCTGTAAGATCACGAGGCTGGATGTCCTCGACTCCTACTATATTATCTACGTCTATTCACTGGGTCACTTCAGAGTGTTGTCATGTCTGGCGGCCAGACTTAGCAAACAAAAAATTGTTCAAAGGCTAGACCAGCTAGAGAAAGTCTCCGTGCTGACCCTATTTGGGTCATAGATCCTTTGCCCAACTGAAAATGGTGGGGTGTGAGGCATCTCCAGGCCATGGGACCTTCACACAACCCTGTCGTGCCAACATGGAGACCAACTATGTGAGACCTTGAAAAGAGAAACAACAATATCAATACCAATTTCTGAATTTCGGGATGAGAGAAGGGAAGACCAGTGGCATGAAGACCAGGTTTGAATTCAGCCCATTCGACCTCTTGCCACTCGACCTCCAGCCCACAAGACTATGCCTCTGAATGGAGAACCCTCCAATGTACCACAGGAGATTGCGGTTTCAGCTCAAATCCAGGAGTATCCAGGAAATCTTATGTCTTGACTTGTGAAAGTCTTGTGCAATGGAGACCTGTCTACATGCCAAGGCACCCAAGGCAGGCAAATGTCATAACTCTGAAGGAAGTCTCGTGTGGCCTCCAGGGGCACTGTGAGGCCATGGCTCTTGGGGTTAGAGGCCATCGCTAGTAGGTTGGAGGCCATCGCTAGTAGGTTAGAGGCCATCGCCTCCAGAAGTCCTTTCTCGGTGTTGTTTGCATGTTCTTCTGTCGTCCACCCTCAAAGACGCTAGTGAGTGCCCACACTCAAAGCCTGGCAGGGAATCGTGCTCTTAACGGTCCCGTAAGCCTACTTCCGGGTGACATGCAAGGTCACCCCCCCAATCTCTCCAATGACATTTGCCATAAAATACAAGACTACTCCGTTCTTTGAAAGCTCTCTAATTTTGGAACTCCAATAATTGAATCAGCTACTATCTCGCGTTTTGAACTGCTCGATTTCGTTCAAAACTATGTTAGCAGATTCCATATGAATCCATTTCGTGCCATGCCTGTGCAACACCTGTGTGAAAGCAGGCGCAATGGCGGCATCAGCGGAAACAATATGGATATACCATGGAAGTCCCCCTACACAGGGTTGCCACCCTCAGAATTCGGGAAATTTGCACATCATTTCACAATTCGGGAAATACCTCTACGAACGGTAAAAATCGTGTTGGACAAGAATTGTTGTCAGATTGCAAGATAAGAACTTTTTCTCATTGTACGAAGTAATTTCAACATATTCGGTGATCTAGGTAGTGACTATCTAGCCTCATCGTCAAATCTCCTCCCCGCAGACCCAGCTCCACGCAAACATAGAGGGACACGGAGGGAGCAACTACTTGGGCAACCTCAAAACTTGTGGTCTGATTATCCAACAAAGAACCTCCCTTTCCTTGCCCGATGTCCGAAGAAAAAAAAAACGCGCGGTGCGCTTTTCCCATGTCTCCACCGCTGTCAACAAACACTCTACACCGCTACACCGAACGCTTCCTCGCCTTGGGCGGCCTCTGGGAAAGGAGTAACGAGGCCCCCCCGGAGGGAGCCGTTGGCCTCCAGAAAGACCTGGCGCTTGCAGGGGACGGGGCAGCTGCTCTTGGGGTGGTTTCGGTGGTGGAGGGAACCTCCAAGTGAAATCCAAGAGATCTCAGAAGCATAGAAGTTTCAGTTCTGTGGAAGCACGTTTGCAAAGCTAAATTACATCAACATGGATGCTGACATTGGATTTTCGAAATAGACCAGTATATCTTACCTTCTCCATCATCTTCCACGAGTCTAGTCCAAAATGAACGAACAGCAATACCACCTCCTCGCCGGCCAGCGCGCGGATGGTGTGGTTTGGCAACACTGGGGGCACTGAGCCCACACCTGCCGCACACCAACAGAAATGTTCAACCCAGACGTGTTTCGGTTCGTTCCAAAAAGCAAAAACCACAGCTTTGTCCAAGCTCCACATCATTGGACGCTGCGGTCCCGCGACGATCCGCGACGATAGACGCATGTCTCGACCCGGATCGGCGCCTGCACACCTGCGACTCGGCACCTGCCGGCGGCCGCCGTCCAGGGTGCGGTGCCCGAGGGCAGCCCACAATCCGGGCAGTTCATGAGGGGATGGTTGGTCTGCTGGGTCTGTCAATACGGAAAATTGATAGACGTATCTTGGTGGGTGTGTGGCCAAACGCTTGAAGGCTCTCGAACTTGCCCTGGGGATCTCTGGCAGCATTTTGCAGCCATCGCACAGTCCTGCCTGCAGGTCCTCGGAAAACAGAAAAGGCGGCCTCATGCTCGGGACGCCACTGAAAAAGCAGAATAGTCAATAGTCAGAATTCCCAAGGTGTGTCTTTTGCTACATGTGACAGCCTGTGTCAAAGCTTTAAACATCTTCGAGAAAGAACACCCAAAGAAGAACACCTTTCAAGAAGAAGAAGAAGAAGAAGACGAAGACGAAGACGAAGAAGAAAAAGCAGCAGGAACAGCAGCAGCAGCATTGAACAGATTGAACAAATGGGCTGGGACACCACTCACCCAAACCTCTGGGCTCAGGTGCTGAGAAGATTTGGCGCAAACAGAACTCTGTCATACTCTGTCCATCTTTGCCAACACTTCCTGGTGAACTCACCTTCTCACGCATGAGTTGACAACTTGTCATACCGTCTTAAACGCTATCCAAACCCACTCCTAGAAATAGCAAAGTGATGCAAAGTGCCTAAACCCCAAAGGTCCCAAATTCTCGCTCACCCGGCCGCCGCGGGTCCCTGCGCCTCTCGTCCTCGGAGGCCTGGGCCGTGGCGTCCCGGACGCTCGTCGCCTGGCCGAAGCGCCGTGCCGCCGGGGCGAAGCGCCGTCGAGTTCGGCCACCACGAAGGTGGTCTCTCCAAGTTCCGTTGGAAGTCTGGGAAAATGGCGCAGTATCTATATAATCAATATAATTATCTGTATGTACATCAGTACCAGTATCTATCTATCAGTCTGTACAATTGATGAGTTCTTGTTATCATGTCAATGTTGCATAATCTTGCTGTATATAGAGGGCACGTGCTGTAGAGGTCCAGGCATCTCCAGAATTGATCCAACCCAAAGAGTCACCCCCATGGGGGTCAGCTACACCATGCGTTAACATGCGCAGACAGCACCTTCCGAAGAAAAAACAAGCATCCTGGCCTGTTGAGGCCGTAGTTTGTGACATTGGCTCCAGGCCAAGAAGCAGTCCAACAGCAGAAGCCGCTCGTCCTGCGCGTGTCGCAACGCAGGCGCCCAACGCACGCTCTGAGCGAGCGAAACGCCCGAGCGAAGACAGCTCGGAGAGGCCGAGGGCGACAAACAAAACAATGCAAAGGGGGAATGTTGATTTTGAGGTGAGGAAATCATACACCCCTCGACACCCTGTAATTGCCAAAAAAACGGCCAGCAAACCCACTTGAAGAAAGTGACTGTTCTTGAGTGGAAGCGGAAGATCTGATGTACTCAGTGATGACCAAAAGCCGGGCACGCCCCTTTACTCAAGAACAATATGTAGTATCCTACTCTCATCCCAAAACACCCCTATAGCCCTTGAGAAATGTTGGCAAATGACGGTGGATATTCATCTCCCCGAAATGCTTCAGCGAGCTTTGAAACAATTTCCCTTGGAAGCACTAAGGACCTCGGTTCTCTCCGGTCCTTGACCCCCAAGGCCATGAAGGAGTTGAACATCAAATGCTGCTTTCGTGCCTCTCAGGCTGAGGAATGAATTGATTTGAGTCTCGACCGTCTCCCTTCTGCATATTCAGGCCGCCTAAGTTCTTTAATTTCTTGCTGTATTGGTCTTGGATGGCCTTTAGGCCTGGATCCATCTGTGGAATCTACATGTTCATCTTCAATCAAATGTCTTAGCCTGTCTGTTGTCTTCTAGCCGCTTGAAAAGTGCACGGCAAACCTGACCCCCGGAGACATCTTGTTGCGTTTAAGTCAAGTGTCACAGAACTCCAAAGTGTTTTTTAAGGGAGTCCTCAATCTTAATTCCAGTTGTGTCCAGTATCGAACCCAGGTCGAAAAGGCTGCAGAACGAGAGTTCGGCACAATTGAGACAATTGAGAAGGAAAATAGTTTGTGCCAGTTTCTGCTCCATTCTTCCTTGCAAAAATACAAAATTCCAGACTCTCATGACCCAGCAGCGCTACCTCTGCTCACGATGGTGGCGCAACATCCCCCCCCCCTACCGCAGATGCGCCTGCTGTCGCACAGTCTGTGCCGCCTTCTCAGCAGCATCAGCAGCGCGGCGGGCCTGGTTTCGAGACCCAGGTCTTCTTCACACAGAACTGCAGGGGTGATTCCTATATTGAATATA